ATAATCAATTTTATACAAAGATACATTTTTTATTATAAGATTTTGTAATTACTTTACTTTAATTATTATATATTAATTATTGAACATTTATTATTAAAATCATATATATTTTATAAACTTCTTAATTTATTAAAAAATTAAAAACTAAATTTCTAAATTTCTAAATTTCTAAATATTTATATATTTATTTTTATATTTATTATATATTTATCTATTCTTAATATTTCAATTATTATGTAAAGAACAGAAACTTGTTAAAAAAACCACAAGCTAATTACGTTGCAAAAAATCCTAAACACAATATCAAAGGATTAAATTCGTTTTCGTATAGAACAAGCTTCACATTAGATAGTCTAAATTCAAGGGTAACATGTCGTCGTTGTTCGGTAGAACAGTATGAATTTTCGTATAATCACGAGTTTCCTTCACGTCTTTTTTTAAAGCGGTTTCGTTTAAGCGATGAAAGATCAAGGGGATATACACGGCCATGATCCGTTCCTACCCTCCGAAGCGTAAACAGGGGACATCCCATTACCTGGATCCATCCTCTGGCCAACATTACCCTAACCTGCGTCGAGGGGAAGTCGCACCGGAACTTGATGACCTTGTCGTCCCCGTTCAACCTCTTCTTGGTGGTGATTGTGGCTGTTGTGGCCGAATGCCTTGCAGACATAGGTTCTCTTCGGCTTCTTTCTTGCGGAAACGAGTTTTCTTCGGTCTCATGGATCAGTTCTGTGTTCTTGGACATTTCTCAGTAGATGGAATTATCGTGAAGCGAAAGTTTTGTTTAATTAATGGAAATTAATAGTTAAAGTCAATTTGATTATTGGTTAAGATAAATAGACTGATATTGTTGCGTAATTTTATTTAATCAAGTTCAGAGTTTAGATTTTTGTATATGATTTGAGTATAATGAAGATTGTTTGATAGTGTTTTGCGTGGATTTTTAATTAAGTTATAATATTGATAGTCTTTGCTAATATTGTATAATAATATTAAGTTCAAATTAAAGTAATGAAATTCTTGTTTATAAATTTATATTTTATTATTTTTATAAATAATAAATATTTATTAATTATTAAAAATTAAATAAGAAATTAAAATAGAAATATAAATTTAATTTGAAAACATTAATAATATAAATGTTAACTTAAAACTAACGTAATATATAATTACTGTATGTAAAATATACTATAGTATAGAATATAAACAATTTACTTTTGTAATAATTATTGCCAAATTTTGTATAATTTAATTTAGAATATTCAAAACTAAACAAAATATACATTTAGCATTGAATACGTAATAATAGAATATTATTTATTTTATAATTTTATTATTAATTATAATTACTCTATTATAATAGTTATTTATACTAACTATGAAATTATTTTATTATCTATTAATCTATTATAAATCTATCTATTAATTATCTATTATAAATCTATTTTTACATATAAATAATATTACATATAAATAATTAATTGTAATTTGATTTGAAATATAATATTTGATGTTGATGTATATCATGTATCTAATATATATATTTTAATTAATATTATTATTATAATAAAATATTTAAATACATATAATTTTCTTTATTATTGAAATCATTATTAATTATTTCAATAATTATTGAAATAAATATTAATAATTATTGTCAATTTTATTTTAAATTGTTATATATGAAATTATTTAATTATTATATGATGTGATATGACCAATTTGCCTTTAAAGTTTGATGATTAACAATTATTTTACGTTAATTTAAAATTTCAAGATAATTAAATGCGATTTGAATAGTATTTTATGAATTATTACATTACAAAAGACTATTATGACAAAAGATTATTATGTATTATAATAAACTTTATATACAATTTAAATGTTTTTCTTAAAAGATTAACAAACAAAAGTTAATTAAAAAAATAAATAATTGTTATTTGTTTGAAAAATTTAAATTAGAAAATATAATTATAAAAAATATTATTAATACATATTATTAATATATATTATTAATATATAAATATTATTAATATATATTATTAATATATAAATATTATTAATATATATTATTAATTATAAATATTATANTATGTAAGTGTATGTGTTATTATATATTTTATACAATAATTTTATTTAAATATCATTGTAAAAAATATTTTATATTAGATATATATTTGCATAATGTAAAAATCTTTAATTATTATATTTAATTTTTCTTTGATTTCCACGCAATAAAGAATAGTGGGTATAAATATAGTATCACAATGTTTTACAAATTAATCTGTGAATTAATTTTATTGGAATCTCATACTGCAGAATACGAAAGAAATTTACTAATATTTTATGTTGTTTTATCTTCACTTTGCTATCCCGGTACCGGCATGGTGCAATATCGCTGGTAATATTGGAGAGGAAGAAGGCTAGATAAATGGCTAGTCATTAAACAAAATTTTGTGAGTTGCTTTCCTGTGTATTTAATGATAACATGATTACAAATAAATAATATAATAGTTACGTGATTCAAATGAAGATGCAGAATGATTGATAGATAATGTATAGTCGATGTGCCTTCTTTTGTTTTTTATTTGGGGAAGATTAAAAAATCAGATGAATAAAATTGAATAATTAATATTTTTGAATATATATATATTTTTTAATATTAGAACTAACATTTATAATATGTAAATATATTGTATGTAAATATATTGTAGATAAATAATTAAAATAATTTTAATTAAATGTTTGTATGGAATGTCCTTAATTATTAAAGTATAATGAGAATAATTAAAGATAATGAGAATAATTATTAATTTTATCGTATAAAAAAGGAGAGATGGCAAAGACATTATATTCGTGGAACACTTTTGGTGATCAGTTCTAGAAATTTTAGATACAAAAAATATACAAAAATATTATTGAAACTTTTTTATTAAGTTGTAAATAATTTTAGTTTACATTAGATAAGTAGCGAAATAAATAAGAAAATATAGAGAGATAATATAGATATATATTATTAACTGAGTATATATATATGTTTCTCTCTAAATAAAAATGAAATATAAATTTTGGAAATCCGCATATTTTTTTTTTTAAATTATATAAATAAGTGCAAAATAAAAAACTTGAAATCAATCAATGTTATTTGATGTTATTAATTATGTTAATAATTTTAATTTTAATAATGAAATGAATTATTATATTAACAATTTAATTTTTTAATAATAATAGTATTAATATATATTATAA